TAATAATAATAATTAATAATAATAATAATAATAATAGTAACATAGTAATAGTCAAATTGCTAGGTACACCATATGTTATTTTCAGTATCTAAATCTTGTAAATCTGGTTCCTTGGTAAGAATATTTCGAAATAATTTATAACTAAAGTTTTAATTGTAAAGCTTACAGTGCATACTGCCGGTATTTGGTTGACTGCATCACCCTGGAAAATAAATCAAAACGTTTTGAAGTATTGAACATCGCATTTTAACATAGTAACATTCAAATTGCCAGGTACACTAGATGATATTTTCAGTATCTAAATCTTGTAAATCTGGCTCCTTGGTAAGAATATTTAGAAATAAGTGATTACTAAAGTTTTAATTGTAAAACTCACTGGGCATACTGCCGGTATTTGGTTGACTGCACAGATCATGTTGTCAGTAATATCATCTTCCAGGTCCTGAGCACACTGAGTGTTGTTTAAAATGGCCACATTTGCTATCTGGGGATATTGCAGGTTATCTAACATCAGAGTGAAATATATGGGTAAGAATATATGTAACAAAATAAACTGTTAATTGAAAACTCAATTCATAATGAATTTTACTGGACAACATTGAGCGTGACAAAAACTTACCACCTGCTTGTGTTCCCCAGCCTATGATTTGACACATCTCTCCATTCCATATCGTCCTCTTGCCTAAGTCTATAGGTAATATACGAGGGTTGTTGGTATCTGCTGCGTTTGCTAACTTCAGTACGGCATAATCACTAAACAATGAGTCGGAGACATCAAGGAAGCGAACAGTTATTGTACTCACGGCATACAACACTCCGTCAGAATTATCGAAACGATCATGTTTACCAAGGTACACTTCGTAGACCGCTGGTTCTGCCCTAAAATATAATATTTTGTTAGCATAGTATACTGTCATGAATTTGTTTTTGCGTATCTGTTGACCGACTTAATTAGTTGATTATTAGCTGAATTGCTGTGTTATGTCTGTCATCGTTCAGGCTTAATTGAAGTTTTGGACGGAACTTGGCTCAGTGGTTTGGAACTAATTACAAGATACCGTCGCTATTCTGACATCCGTAGTTATTAATGTAGTGAACGATTAATCAAAAGATATGACGTATTCAGTACTTAGTGTGATTGGCTTTATGATTGAAAGTTACGCCCTAGAGTCTTTTTACTGCTTTGTAATTGGTTAGAGTTTTGAAAATGAATAAAGAGAGTTTGAGTTGGTCTTGGCGAATACTCCACGATAGACGCGGTAGAGAGAGAGGGCAGTCCTGGGCAGTCGAGAGTCCAGTCCAGGGGCGAGCCTTGAGGCAGTCCTGCAGTCGAGAGTCTAAGAGAGTCTTGGGGCGAGCCTTGATGCAGTCCAGTCTTGGGCGAGTCTTGGTTCAGTCTTGTGAGAGTCTTGGGGACACTTTTCCCCAGGGCGCTGTGTCTTATAGAGTGCTCGATTGACCGACTAAGACGAGAGCTGAAACGTATTTCGTTGTGTGTGTCTTATTTGACTGTAAAGTATAAGTGACTTTCCCGATCCCGTACCTCAAGGGGACGAGATAGAGAGACGAGACGAGTTCCCCCCCTGACAAGTGTGGAGAACCCGAGAGAAAGAGATTCCCCCCTGATACGTGGTGGAGAATCCGGGCAGGTGTTTAACACACATTGACATCCTGTGAAGAGAAGTGAAATGGCGAAGGTGTGTCTTTCTTGCGAACCGAACTAACTGGCTCGATGGCAGAGACGAAACCGCGCTCGACGACTAACACCGTTAACAGTATGGCACCGATGAACGACGCTGAAGAGATGAAGACCTCTGAACCCCTTATGAAGGATGAGTACCGGATAGGACTGTATAATTAAGAATTGAGCGACATTAAAGACAAGAAGAAGATGAAAGAACAACCCAGAATAACGCGACAAGAGAAGAGACGCTTATAGACTTTAACTTTAGCTATCTTTGTAGTGCTTAGAGAACCGCTCGTTGGACACTGAAACTGACACTGTGTAACTCAAGATGTTGAACTCTCTTTTTCAGAACCCTAACCCTATTGCTTAGTAATGTAATGTATTGTTTGCTTTTTCTATCTTTTTTCTTACCGTTTTTTTGTGATGTCGAATTGTATGTATGTAAGCGCCCAGATCTTTGTTTTGAAATGATATTTAGTGACGTTCGAGGTTCTTTATAATGATTTAAGCGCGTTTCAGTGGACAAGTATTTGCAACACAGTGTTTTGAGTTGTGTGATGTTTTATGGAGTTTTAATGAGTTTATGAGTACGTATTATGATGGGGAGAGTGATGCCCCC